AAAACTGAATTCAGTTGCCCCTAAATCTATTTTTAAAAGCAAAGAGGAGTGGAGTGTTATTTGTATTGATCATAAGCTGCAAAGGAAATATTTCACACAGAGATAGAAGAGCAGTGGTTTCGATATGGTAGTGAGGAACTGCACGGATTCTCACCTCGCCTTCTGGCTTCTAGGTACCTGGGCCTTGGCAGACGAATTTCCTCCAAGGGAGCAGGATCTGCGGGACTCCTAGACCTTAGGGGAGAGCCAAGTCTCAGTTCAGAGGGAGGCCAGAGAGTCTTCAAGAAGAGATCAAGCTGAACTGTAGTTTACTAACAAAGGAAGCAAGATTTAACCCTAGCTGGTTTTGATCAGTGGCTAGAGCAGGGGTGGGCAAACTTTTTGACTCGAGGGCCACAATGGGTTCTTAAACTGGACCGGAGGGCCGGAACAAAAGCAGGGATGGAGTGTTTGTGTGAACTAATATAAATTCAAAGTAAACATCATTACATAAAAGGGTACGGTCTTTTTTTTTTTTTTTTAGTTTTATTCATTTCAAACGGGCCGGATCCGGCCCTCGGGCCGTAGTTTGCCCACGGCTGGGCTAGAGCGTTGGCTGGCGCACCGAAGGGTTCTAGGTTCAATTACAGCCCAGGGCATCTACCTCAGTTGCAGGCTTGATCCCAGGCCTGGTCGGGGTGTGTGTGGAAGGCAACCAACCGATGTGTTTCTCTCACACTGACGTTTCTCTTTCTGTCTCTTCCCTCCCTTCCACTCCCTCTAAAAATCAATGGGAAAAATACCTTCGGGTGAGGATTAAAAAACAAAAAATTATCTTGTGGACAAAAAGGGGCCAAATGCTAACCTGACTAGCTCAGGGAAGGGCTGCATGGCGGCCTTGCAAACTCAGACCTCAAGTAACCGCAAAGGTTGGTCTGAAATTAAAACACACACACAAAACACACACACAAACCCCCCCCCCCAAAAGATGTACAGGGCACAATCGAGCTGAAAGGAGAGGAGTAATAAAGGACCTAAGCATTTGCTAAGTGTTTATTGAGCTTCTTGAGGGCAGGTGCTAACCATGATCATCTTTTCACCATTAGAATCCATCCCAGTGCCTGGTATATGCTAGCCTTTGAGCAAATGTTTGTTACCATAAAACGAGACTGTTGTAAATGGCATTTAATTATGCTCCGTGAGTGGGGGTGTGGTAAAAGATCCTGTTCCTGTTTGATAAGAGAAAATGAGAAAGAAGGATCATCGTTTTGGGCAGTGAGAAGGATATAACCCAATTTTACAAACATTTAAAAACGGCTCCTGGCCAGTCACAGCTGGGTCTAATACCCCATCAGGCATCCTTTCCACCCAGTCAATTAGATTCGTGGACTGTGTTTCTCATCGAGGAGGATTCTCTTTCTTCTCCCAGCACTTCTGGGCGATATCTATAATACAGAGCAGATCTTTCCAACGCAGAGGTTCTCAACCTGTGGGTCTCGACCCCTTTGGCGGTCGAACGACCCTTTCACAGGGGTCGCCTAAGACCATCCTGCATATCAGATATTTACATTAAGATTCATAACAGTAGCAACATTTCCGTTATGAAGTAGCAACACAAATAATTTTATGGTTGGGTCACAACATGAGGAACTGTATTTAAAGGGCCAGAAGGTTGAGAACCACTGTTCCAACGGATAGTGCCTGCCCAACTCTTTTCCTATAAATCTATTAGAAACATTTTGTTAGCAGAAATGACAGGTAACAAATAATAAGTCAGTCATTGGGTTATAGAAGCTGAAGTTTCCCATGCTGCAAGCTCCCCTTCTTTTAGGTATTTCACTTACGTTGGCCGAGTGGGTAAAGTCACCTCTAGGTTCAGTTTCTCCTAGTGATGCTGATGGTTTGCTAGTGAGGAAGTATCCCTGCTTGCCCATTCTGGCCCCCACCCAGCACTCATAGGTAATTCTCCCCTGTGTGATGGCTTTTGGGTTTCTGAAATCTGTCATCTATACCTAGTAAAAGGTAAAAAGGAACCAAAGGGAAAAAATGTAATTCCTGTCTTTGCACGATGCCACTCACTCCCTCTGGCATGTTGCATTGTCTTCCTCACTTGATAGTTTTGTTGTTGTTATTGAGCATCATACGTGATCACCTCCTGGATGCTTTCTCCAGCCAGTCTGCAGACCTCCATCTCCACGCTCGCGCTGTAGCATTATGCCTCCATTGCCTTCCACTCCTTTTGTGAACTCACTAATTACAGCATGGCTTAATTACATTTGTGAGAACAAAGACTGGTAAAGCTTATCTTTTGTTTCAAGGAGCTCGCCATCTATTGTGTGATACAGACATAAATACACGTGTCTTGATTAAAGGGTAAGCAAAATATGGAGGGAGGATAGGAGGAGAGCCACTGAGAAGGGAGGGAAGCTAGAAACAGCAGAATAAGTTTGCATAAGTTTTTATTTGAGACACTGTATCTTTCTTGATAGAAGTTCTAGGCAGGTGTAGGGACTTTCTGCAGGGAGGGACCGAGGCAGTTTCATTGGAACTCTGGTCACAGTTATTTAAAGTTATCCCTTTAAATAAAAAGTGTTGGGTTTGTTTTTTCCCAGCTGCAGTGGCTCAGGAGGTCACAGTTCAATTCCAGGTCAGGGCACATGCCTGGGTTGTGGGCTTTTCCCCAGAGTGTATGTGTATGTGTGTGTGTGGGGGTGGGGGGAGCGGGAGGGAGGTGCATGCAGGAGGCAGCCAATCAGTGATTCTCTCTCATTGATGTTTCTATCTCTCTCCTCCCTTCCTCTCTGAAATCAATAAAATATATTTTTTAAAAAAGTGGTTTTGTCTGTTATGTAAAAAACACAGGGGGCTCTCAGCTGGTTTGCCAAAGCACATTGGAGTATTGTGAATCCTTCAAACTGTGTTATCAAATTTTGACAGATTTGTAAGATTAAAGTTTGATCTGAGATTCCTACATCACAGCGATAGATCTCAGACAGAACTTTAAGCGGAGCAGGTCCTAGGACTGAATGTGGAGTAGGAACAGAAGGAGGCAAGCAACATACTGTGTCAAACCAGCCCAAGAAAGGGTGGTGTGCTTACTGAGCACATGCCACCATGGCCTGTGCATATCAAAGAGAATGTCGACGGGCAGAACACAACTCTATTCCCACAACCACTCAAAGTTGGGGGTCGGCCAAGGGGATGGGGGAATGGCTGGGTGTGCTTTTGTAGACACTGTGAGATACTGTCACACTGAGTGGTGATTCAGGTGGTTAAAGACTGTTGATTTTTCGTGTTGCTTTAGGCCTTTTAATCTCTTCAAGTGTGGCACGAAAGACTGTTGATTTTTAGTGTTGCTTTAGGCCTTTTAATCTCTTCAAGTGTGGCACGAAAAAATTATAGTATTCTAAGTGGTACACACACACACACACACACACACACACACACAGGGTGCGTGCTGAGCACCATGGAAGTACTACATTTAAAATTAAAATGGAAGCTATCTCCTTGTTCCTTTTTCTTGTCAGGTAGCCTACCAAGGCTTTAACATCTCTTACCTCAGACGAACATCATCTGTTTCCTTTTTATGTGAGCCTGGATGTTTTCCCCAGCCAGTCTGCAGACCTCCATCATGAGAGCTTATTAAAATCTGGGAAATTTGATTAAGTCTCTATGACAGTCCCCCCCCTCTTACCCCTCATTCTTTTATCTTCCTTTCACAAGCAGGATTATGAGGTTGCTTGATGGGTTTTTAATATTGTCACGAAAAATCTCCTCTTGGGCATGTTTGTGCAGTAGATAACATAACCTTAAGAGACTTATTTAAATGCACTTATTCAAATGAAGTGGGCAGACGCCACAGAACCGGCTTGGCACCAAGTACACTTCAGAGGAAGTTCTCTCCAACCAGTGTAATACCTCATTTGTAGTAGAACAAAGAACCACTAGACGGAGCTAGGGATCAAGAAATCGCAGCTCTGAATTGGGTGAATGTTATTATATGGAAGAAGCGTATCATTACTTTCAAAGCCTATGCAAGCCTTAATTCTGCTAAAGCAGTCAGCTTGCTTTGTGCCTACACAAGGTGAGAGAAAGGGTGATGCTTGTAATGGCCCAATTTACTTAGTCACTCCAATGATGTACGACCTTGGTATAGCCCTGTTCAATTTAGAGTACATTTTACATTTTAGGTACATAATTAACATTTGATCTTCACAGCAACTCAGAGATTGATGGGCAAGAATTAGTTCTTTTTTTTTATATTAATGAACTTAGGGTTTCTGTACCTGGTAATACTATCATAGGATGTGTCAGAGCCGTTATTTCGTACAACTGAGGCTGCAGGCTCCGTTTTTTCCCTCTTTCATTTTAATGTCCACTGTTGACCAAGCCTGGAATGAGCTAAAAAACTAGGGACTCATTCCTTTTGTGAGGCATAGACTCACTCTCTGGCCACACGCACTGGAAATGGATAGTAAAGGGACAGGTAAAGACTATGTACAGGTAGAAATCTCCGAATCAGTGAACAATGGCTCCTACCCAGAAATCTTTGGTCCATGTGATCTTCCCTTAGACCCGGGGCAGGTGTGAAGACCGACACCTCATCCTGTGCAGTATGGACTGTCCTTCAAGCCAAGGTTCCGGTTCTTAATTGCTAACTGTTTGGGAAGCTGCCCCCCTCCCCCACCGCGCCTTACCCCTTACCCCAAATATTTGCCCATAGAGACAAGCCCAGCGTTTTAATGTCAGACAGTTTGTTCTTGTTTTCTAACCTTACACACTGATCATAACAGCTTGTGCTTCAGCTAAAAAAAGTTATGTGCATATTCATATGTTTTCTTGGCTTTGGGGTAAAATATTCTTTGGATAAAAGTGGAAATCAGGTCAGGCAGTTAGCAAATTTATCAAACGTCCAGAGCTTACATTGGCTTTTGGTTCTATTTAAAAACAACCCAAGATTGAGCTTCTGGAGCTCCATCCGTTAGTCACTCCGCAAGTCTAACCGCCTGTAATACGACGTCATGAACTACTGGCGCAACACTGGCTTCAGCATCAAGGAGGGGCCACTTCCACCAGGAGGCAAAGAAACCCCAGGGGGAAGAAGGTGTTCCAGGAGCCTCCAAGGTTTCCAAGGGCGTATGCTGCCCTCCCACCACCCAGCCCAAAGCGCACTGAACGCAATTCCCGGCTGTGCCCAGAGGGTGGCGCTG